TAGGCAGAGATTGAGACACAACATTTAAAGGCAGGCAGGAATGAAATCCCACATTTTCATTCTGTATCTGGAAAAATTTCTCACTTCATTCGATTTTTACTTTCATTCCTATTGCCTTGTATCATGCCCCTTCTGGTTCAGAGGAGCAGTCGCATAAAAGTGACAGAAGAGGGACAAGACTGGTTTGGAACACATTTGTGTTCAATGTTTGATTCCTTTTTCCTTGTGATAAAGTCAGAGGCAAATGTACCTTCACTGATAAATCTGTGCACACAGAACCAAAAATACTTAAAATTGGGAAAGAGGAATATTTTAAAGGTCTGTCAAACTCTCAACATATATATTTGTCCTTTAATGCAAAAGGACAGGGAGGAATATTAACAAATGGATTTCCTAAGAAAATTAACCTAAAAGAGTGAACATGAAACAGTGAAAGGCAGTCAGTTACCTTTTCTTTTCAAACATGTTACTAAGAAACTGATTAGTGACTTTACTTATGTTTCTCTGTAACTTTTGGTTTTTCTTTTTTTTTTTTTTTTTTTTTTTTTTTTTGAGACGGAGTTTCGCTCTTGTTACCCCAGGCTGGAGTGCAATGGCGCGATCTCGGCTCACCACAACCTCCGCCTCCTGGGGTCAGGCAATTCTCCTGCCTCAGCCTCCTGAGTAGCTGGGATTACAGGCACGTGCCACCATGCCCAGCTGTGTTTCACAAAATTTTCCCAGTTAATGGCCTATGGAGCGTGTCAGTACTTTATTGGGGTTTGCACAATGTTAAAAAAAAAAAAAACCTATTAAAATAAGTATTATTTTAAAACATACAAAAACATTATTCAGCAGCCTACCAATTAAAATGTAATTGGCTGCAACCTCTGTACAAGAAGAGCCTCAAAAAGGAGCTCAAGCATTGATTATAAGAGCTTTCCTACAAAATACCGACGTGGAAAATTTCATTTTAAAATTTCTGTTGAATCAGAGTTTCTATAAATAGATTTGACTGCTTGGTATGCAGAAAATCACTGTAGAGACCCTCTACATTCTAATCTATCAAATTTCAGGGTGTATTTCTCTTCTTAAACACAAATCTTTTCCTTCAGCACTGAAAGCACTCACTGATCAAGAAACCCACTTTTAAGGGCTGTGTGAAACAGAAATTTCAGCATCTAAGATGAGGGCATCAACCACCAGCCACTCATTACATGCACACTGGGTAAAGGGTAACAGTTTTATAAGGTATTGAGGGCAGTTAAGATTACATCTCACAGTGTTATTTAGGATTCTGCACCTATATTACATCTGACGTATTAAATTTCAGCCAGGAAGAACTATTAATGCCTGAATAAAACCCCACGAAATACTGATTTACATCTAAAACTCTGGACAAATTTTTAGCTGACACAAAATAGTAGGCATCATTCTGAAACAATTATTCTCTCAAGTTATTTTTCTCTCAATTGTAATGTAGAACTGTTGAAACCAACTAATTGTGAACAGATGATAATTAGGAAACAAAAATGTATAAATGTCCAGATTTGTTCATGAAGATACAAACTGAATGTTTACTATGAATGGTAAATAGGAAAGATTTTTTTTCTAAAACTGTGATCTAGTCTTCAAGTAAAACTATCAATTTGTGATTATTTTAATGGCAAAAGTTTAAAGCTATTGCTTTCTGTAGTTTAAAATAAGGTATAACTAAACTACCTATGTTTTAAATATCCTTGAATAGCTTTGAGATATTATATGGTGGCAAACCCTGTTCAGTAGTCACTAATCTGTATAAAATATCTCATAGCATATATCTTCTCCAATTTTACACAGCACAAACAAAAACCAAAAAAGCAGAGAAAGCAAAAGGAAAACATGTTTTCTTCAGCAGGGACTATTTGATTATGAAACACTCATTGAAAGAGCTATTGCCAGTAGAAAAGGTATGTTGCCACGCCTTCTGATTTAAGGGATTTCACTGTTACCATGACAACCTTTGAAAAGTCAGGGCTTTGAGCTCAAGTAGTGAAAGTCAATGACCTTGACAATAGTGTCGACTGTGAACCTGCCCAAGTCCTTGAATCCTACAGACCTTGCTAATGGCTTGGTCACGACACACAACTGGTCCTGAACTCTTAGAACTCACTCATTTGCTTATGGCTGAGAAACTTGGAGTCTATAGGACAGGTAGCTCCTCCAGGTCCTCAGTTTCATGAAAGACAGAACCAGAACGAAGATCCAGGTCTCCTCCCAGGCCAGCTAGTGCTTCAGTGTAGGCTGTCACTTTCTAGAAACCTCCTTTTTACTGCACATTTTTCTCAAAAGTGTTATGTGTGGAAATCTTTTGAGTGTCACACATGACGGAGACCAAGAATAAACATATTTCTGAGTCAAATGGACAGCAGTGGCTAATAAGAGAAGTGGTCACTGGACATTTCTGAAGCCAAATAAATCTTTTCTATCCTGCTGGATATTTTAGAAGCTAAATAAATTACCCCAATTACCCTGAGTTCCAATAAAAATACTTACTTTAAAAACAGAATGAGCCACTTATAAAATGGTGACAGCTGAGGCATACCAAATTAAACTAATTCTTGTTTCAAAAAAATGAAATTGAAGGATGAATGATTTTTTTTTGTTCATTTTTTTCCCTGAGTAGTATACAATTAACCAAAAGTACATATATGATATTGATTGATCATCTCTGGAGTGATTTCATGATACCTGAATAGTGGAAAATATACAACATAAATATGCAATGAATCTTAATTCTGCTGATGGAAAAAAAAGCAAGAATATATTACAATGAATCCCTTTCTATTTAACAGTAGACGTACCAGTTTAAAATTCTTCTACTCTAAGTAATAGAAGCAAAATATTAATCTTTGTGATTATTACTTCTCCAAACTAGAGGAGAGCTAGCCAAAAACCATTTCATTAAAAAAAAAAAAAAAAAAAAAAAAACCTAGTTGTTGATTCGGGGGATGAAAATTAGTCAAACTGTACATGTAATTATTATCGGCAAAGGAACTGGAAAACCAATCAAATATGTTGCTTTCTAGATGACAGTGCTAAGATTATATTCACTGAGCAAGAAATAGGTAACAGTGACTTAGGCTTACAGGCTGATAAATAAAGTAAGTTCAGGTAACAAAAATGTGATTATTTGTAAGTGGCTAGATAGGCTGAAACCCCTACTGCCCCCCACCACCCCACCAAAAAAAAAAAAAAAAAACCACACACAAAAAAACAAAACCCAACAAGTTTGTATTAAGCCTTCTTGTCTTCATTTATGACATGCCTGAACCTGTCCTTTAAATTCTTAATTTGTTCACTTTCTCTTAATAGCCATCGGATTCTCTGCAACATTAATTAAACTGAGCAGACATCTTACAGGGCAGATACTTTCCATGAACATTCTTTCTATTCTCTCACATTATACAGGCTGCAAAATTTTTTTTTCTTTTTTTGAGATGGAGCATCCCTCTGTTACCCTGCTGGAGTGCAGTGGCGCAATCTCAGCTTACTGCAACCTCCGCCTCCTGGGTTCAAGCGATTCTCCTGCCTCAGCCCGAGTAGCTGGGATTACAGGTGCTCTCCACCACGCCTAGCTAATTTTTGTATTTTTAGTAGAGACGGAGTTTCACCTTGTTGGCCTGGCCGGTCTTGAACTCCTGACCTCAAGTGACCCACTCGCCTCGGCCTACCAAAGTACTGGGATTACAGGTGTGAGCCACCACACCCAGCCAACATAATTTCAATGCATGGGAAAATAGAGAAAATGTATTTAGCTATCGATTTGTTTCCTGAGAAGGAATGGCAGGGCTAGCCTTATCAGTTGGAAAACATTTACTTTTAGAAAAAAAAATAGATTAGGACATTTCTCAACTTCAAAAAAGAAACATGAACATTTTTGCTGACTGAGACCTCAAAAGTCGCAAGTGTATTTGCTTTTCCTTTCTTCTTTAAATGAAGTATTACATAACATACACTAGATGGTTGCTATGTCCTTAACTTCATTTGCAAATTTATTAGTGACCCCACCCACCACAAAAAGAGAGAGAGAGAAAAACCCATAGCAGAAAACTTGCACTTCATTAAACATTTAAGGCGAAAAGAAAAGTAAGTTCCATACAGAGGCCAAATAAAGGTGAAATCCAAAGACTCTGCCCCCTCCCCTCTCACAGGGCAGGAGATACAATCCAGGGCTGAGGTCACTCCACTGCCTGGCATCAAATCCCACTCTCCTGCTTTCAGCTCCTGTGGCCACCACAGTCCTCTGTGGGATCACAGAAGACACCTAGTAATCCAAGTCAAGATTAATCATGGTAAAAATGGCCCATAAAATAAAAGCATATTTTCCTACTTACAGAATCTGTAACTGATTTTAGTAAGAGTTCACAGCAAAATTTTAATGAGAAGAGTTTGAAAATGAATTTATGTTATTCTCAAAAACTGTCACCAAGACTCAATGACTTTTAGTTTTCATTTCCCTAAAAGTTTCCCAAATATGAATTAAACTGTCAAGGATAAGAAACTGATTAGCCAGATAGTAACCTACCTAGCAATTTTTCTTTCAAAACCTTTGAGCACCCTACCAGTATTATTTTCAAACCCTCTAATTCTACATAATTTATGCCCGACAAATTTCATTTAGAAGTCTAAAGTATCACGAAGTTATCCAACTTTTGTTTAAGTCTCACAGGATAGCACAGAGCCCTGGCGTGGCGGAGAAGCAGCCTGCAGATCCACGTCTCCACCCTGTGCTTTCCACCGGAGGCCACGCAGCACTTCTTCATTCCTGCCTTCCTTCGTCACCTCTCTCTTTTAAGAAAAAGAGCAAGCTTAAAATATCACCTTACCAAACCTTTCATTATGTTTTAAGAAATTCCTTCTGGAAGTGCTCTTTGACTGCACAAGGTAATTAAACCCTCCAGCAAAATAAGCTACCTATAATTTGGCGTCCATTACTGTTGACAGTTTCACTATGTAGTCATTTGACATACTTTAAGAGAACCCTTCAAATACTGAGATGTTTATTGCATTTAATAAAATCCACATTCTTAAATATCCTGTTTCAAAATCCTCCTGAACTCCTTTACAGCACACAACATCAACTACTGCAATAGTGTTCTCATAATATTACACTTGAAAATACCATTTAGGAACAATATTTTAGGAAATAGAGGGTTTAAGGCAAGACATTCATTTGGAAAAGTTGATTTATCCCTATCATTGAGATTGACACGATTATTTTTCCACCTCATCAGTGCCTTGGGATACGCAACATACATTCAGCAACAGGGCACACGAATGACCCTACGAACAAGTGCTGAGGTTGGGAGTGCCCACTGAAATATGGAAATATTCTTACATAAGGCATGGCCCACAGGGACATGGCATGGGAGGGCTTGTTTCACTCTATTTCCAATCTGGTTTACAGGAAATTCCTCATCTATAACTGCCCAATTTCCCACCAGTTAATCGCTTTTCCAACAAACTCAAACCCTTGAAAAGGTGCTAAGATTGGTTTCTGTTAACATTAAAAAATAGCCCTCAGAGCCTTCCCCATCACTGCTTTAGTGATGAATGTCTCGAGGCTATTTCTTGATTCTGATTGCAAACATTGTTTGTTATAGAAAAACTGTTCCGTCCCAAAGAATGTTCTCCTTCATCAAACTTTTTGGATTGTGAGAGCTGAATATTTTCATGTGCATTCTTTCTTCCTTGAGTTTTTTTCACTGGAAACAACAATAATACTAAGATACCAAGGATGTGCAGGCTGTAATACCAGGAGCTAAAATAAAAAGGGAAAAAGTTTATTAAAATTTTATAACTGCGCACTTGTAAAAATGTCACGTGGCCACCTTAGGATGTATTTATTTACTATATTCTTCTTCTATTTTTCCCCCTCAGGAGAAGAAACCTGACAGTGTAGGCCCATGGGAATTTATAGCACTGGATAAACCCAGGCTGCTTAGAAGCCTGATTCTAGATAGCATATTACATTCCTTTGTAAGAGTCCTAAGACCATGGTTAAACAGAATAAAAACAAAAAGTTAATGTATTAATAGCAGTAGCAATCTGAAAATCTCCCCAATCCAGAGAATTAAAAGTTGAGTCAACAAAGAAAATGTGGAGATAGTTAAGACTTTTACTAGTCTGGCCTCACCTGCTATTTACAGTCTCTAAGTTACAAATATTCTAATGAGGGTGAGTGACAGGGAAGCAATATTGCTTCTTGATGATTACTTTCATGAAAAAGAAAAGCCATATTATTAAAAATATTAGGCCGGGCGCGGTGGCTCAAGTCTGTAATCCCAGCACTTTGGGAGGCCGAGGCGGGTGGATCACGACGTCAAGAGATCGAGACCATCCTGGTCAACATGGTGAAACCCCGTCTCTACTAAAAATACAAAAAATTAGCTGGGCATGGTGGCGCGTGCCTGTAATCCCAGCTACTCAGGAGGCTGAGGCAGGAGAATTGCCTGAACCCAGGAGGCGGAGGTTGCGGTGAGCCAAGATCGTGCCATTGCACTCCAGCCTGGGTAACAAGAGCGAAACTCCGTCTCAAAAAAAATATATATATATATATATATTATTGGAAACATCATTCCTCAAATTAAATATAAACAAAATGTAACCTAAACTGTATCTATAGCTGTAAATTCAAGTAATTCTGAACAAAGTATCTGGGATAGAAAATCTAACCAACAGCCCAATCACACTTTTAAACATTTACTAATTTTGCTAAAATGGAACCTTTAGCAGGACTTACTTAATGTCTTCCGGTATAATTATTGTCATATTTGATTCAATAGCTTTTGACTGTATACTTTGTGCCAGGTCATTCTAAATGCTAGAATAATAAAGAATTTATAAAAGAATAACATTTTTGATCTCTAGAATATCACTATCTAATATGGGGGAGTGGAATTTGGTGAGGCAGGGAGAGGAGGTAAGTAGATTATAAAAATATGGAATTCGAGACGGGGCAATTTCTATAATATACAGATCACCACAGCGATCAAACATAAAAGGCACAGTAAAAAGGAACAGACAAAATAGAATTTATTTTCCTTTGATTAAAGAAATTAAGATAATTAACAATCCTTTGTAAAGAGCTGGGTTTTTCCCCAAAGAAGTTCAGGACAATCAAACTAAGAAACTTTTGTTAAATTTAGGAGAGGCTGAGGCAGTGGTTACCCAGTTGATATTTCTCTGTCTAAATCACTCATCTGAGGGTGGAGTGGTATGAGTCATTCCAGAGAAAAATGCTGGGACTGATAGGCTCAGGATTAAAACGTAACTGATAATGCGTTTATCAGCAGGAAATATGGCTGTGGTACTATTTTTCTATTCTACCCAATAACAAGAAACTTTCTTTTGAAAATAAAATTATTCCCACTGACAAAGTTTTAAGAGTAACACTTACCTGTAAAATGTGAATGATGGTTTTACAGAAAGAAGTACGAATGGCACGACTGTGTAACTTACTGCTACTTGAGTTACAATCCATGTTATAACATCATACAATAATTTAAGTTGGGAAGGTTCGATGAAATAATGTCTAAAGTTATTTCTCATCTGAAATAAAGAAACAAAAATATTTGCTATATCTTTACATTAACATTACTTATGAAATTATACTGGTGATATCAACTGAAGGATGTGGTGTGGAATAACCGAAACGCTCATATGTAGCTGGTGTGAGTGTACAATGGCACTGCTACTATGGAAAAAGTTGGTTCCAAAAAAGCAAATACACATTGTACATACTGTGTATAAAAGAGACAGAGAGAGAGGGGATGAGGAAACCACAGGGACGGCATAAATGACTAATGAGTCTGGGTAAAGGGCATACAGAAGTTCTTTGCAACTTTTCTGTAGATTAGATTCTGTATTAAAAAGTTTCCCCCAAAAAAGTTTAAGACAACCCTGCCTAGAGATCCCTTAAATCATATATGGTAAAATATAATATATAAATAAAGTTTAGTTTACCTTCATCCTTAACTCTTATTTAACCTCCGCATTTGTGAAAAACAAAGGAGTCCACACTGAGCTTAGGCTGAACAGCACTTAAATAATTTGCATCCACACACATTATTCATTAATGAAAGTTGGGGAAAACTTCTCAGAAATGGTGTTTTCAAAATATCACTTTTTAATACCTTTTTTGTCAGCTTTCCTAACAGTCAAAACATTTCAGTTTTGTAATGTTCAAACTTAACCAAACATTTTTCTTGTCAAATATATTTACATAGGTGAGACACAGCCCTGCTTTGAAAACACCGCATGTACTGTTCACAGGTGAGGTGGTGCGTGGCTACTGCCCTTCCACACAGAGCCCGTCATTCTTAGTGGCTAGGCACTGCTATCTCCTGCATAGCTCACTGCCATGGCAGTCACCTGCTCTTGATTCCATCCTGTCCACCAATGACAAATCCATGTGTCCTGGGGTATGGGCTTTCAGCATTTCATTCTTGTGCTTAAAAACTATACCTGACCCCCTCCCATTGCAGACAGAATAGGATTAGGCTTCTTCTCTGCTTGGTGTTCAAAACTTGGTTTTGCTAATGTCCTTCCCATGCCTAGAATGTCATTTTTTCCCCATTATGCTTAACTCACTACTGAAATAACTTTCATCTCTCAAAGTCTGGATCCAAACACCTTTCTAATGAGGCCATCTCTAGTTAATCTAACCAAAAGAGATCTCTTCCATCTCTAAACATCTATGGTACGTTGTATTTATAACACCCATGGAATCTGTCACACATACCTTTTGGTGCATATGCACGTGCACACACACACATGCATAAGGTATGTATATACACACATACAACTTATCCACCCCAAAGTACCTTAAAATGGAACAGAGTAAATATCTGCTAGTTTGTTAAATGGAGCCCTCTTACCTCTAAGTACCATAAGCAGCTGTTGAAACACGGTTTTTGTCATGTCACATTCCTTGGTTTTCAAGGGGCTGCACTAAATTACTCTACTTACCTCTGTCATGTCACCAACCTAATTTCTCAATGTTTCCCAAAATATTACTCTAGGTTCTATCCAGGCAAATACTCTAAAGAACGGTGCCCCACTTCTAGTGTGACATCTACCTGGCCACAGCTCATCCATTATCGTGGCCTAGCCACAGTCAACTCTTCATCTTAGAGAGGACTCAAAGGTTACAGCTTTCAGGAAACATTTCTAAAATAAACCTACCCATTCTGATCATCTTTATTTAACTCAGTTTTTATCTCTCCTTCAGAAAATTCTGTAAAGACAAAGTAATATTTTGTGAGTGCCTCCTACCTGCCAGGCACGCAGAAACATGTTTTCTCCTCACAGGAACTGGGCATGGAGCTTAGCCTGTGGTGTGTGCTCAGCAAACATGCATTTACACACCTCGCTTCTAGTGGAAAGGACAATACTGATCACGGCCAAGGAAAGAGGATCAACCTTCTAACACAGATGTACTCAGCCTTTTTAACAGTTCAAGTGGACCATTGAATTGTAAAATAAAATTCTTGATACTTACAGCTCGTGCTGCTAATGTCATTAACACCCCTGTTAGAAACGTTAGATAATATCCTGGGTATACCCCGTGCCAAATGGCAGAGAGAATGAACGTCTGGATAGTTGGACTGAAGGAGGCTCGTTCATAACACACCCTAGAAACCATGAAAAACATGGAGAGCCAAGTGGAGTGAGCGACCCAAGTTTACAAAGCCTGCAATGATCATTCTTTTATTACCTGACAGGATTTAGGGTAACTAGAGAAACAAATACAACTTATCCTAGGCAATAACTTAGCTATGATCTCAGGGGGGCTACAGCGATTAAGTGTCAAATTTAGGAACATAAATTCCCATCTTCTTACTGGTATATACAGTAACTAAAATGATCATTTCTAGTATTGGGGAGTCTATACAATTTATAAAAAGAATAAATTTTAACTAATATTAAGGTTATTTTTATCCTACATTATTTAATTACTTTAAAAAAAATCAATAACTTTCAACTGACCTAATAACACTACTCCTTCTGACAGACAGACTGAGCTTTCCTATTAACAGGGGTAGAGAACTCAGATGAAAATAGTTTCCCTAAGGTATCAAATTTACAATATAACAGTAACAAAAAATAACATAGCAGATTAGCTCAGAGGATCTACAGCCCCTGGGGAGACTGGCAGGCATCCTGAAGAGATGATAGCACATGCTAGCCAAATTAAGATGCTTAATGTGTCATTTAAAAGGGGACACTATAAAAGAAGGCTGCTGAGTGCCTTATCACTATAGGGGCCTTTTCTTAGGAAATAAATTCAAGATAGCGCAATGTGTTCACAGGGATGGTAAGAGATCCCTGGGAGATTCTGTGCCGTTCCCCAGCTCTGTCCTTCACACCTGTTACTCCACTCAGCCTGGGCTGCCTCTACCCTGTTCACGAGACACATTCCCGACACAAACCTCAGCTCAAGCACCCACCACGTCCAGGAAGTTCCTCCTGCGTCCCTCTGTGCCCTCACTGTTCCTGCTTTCTCTCTCCTAATCCTCACCACAGGAATAGCACGTCTGATTACACAGCCATGTCTTTAACAAAATTGTGAACTCTTTCACTTGCAGGGACTAGATCTTTTTGTCTTACTGGTCTTTGTATCCCTTGACTAACAAATTAAAATCTGTTGAATTCAAACCTTTAAAACTGGGACCATTCTGGAGTACCCAGGGTACAAGTACTGTGCTTGTGCAGGCCCTTTTGAATTTAAACCACATCTCTATTGAATGGGATCAGGAGCTGCAAAGGAGGATACTGGTGACCTCCAACATTGGTGGAGGCCTTTACAGGAGGCTGAGAGGGCAGGATAGCTGCGCATGCAGGAGAGCTGCATCCGGGACTCAGGCCAAAACAGTTCTGACTCTACACTGCCTTGCCCAGGAGGAGGCCAATAATGTTTCCCGGGCGACACTGAGGTCACAATGTCACTCAACACCGTTAATTTAATCAAGAACCTGAATTCAGTGAAGCTCAACCTTAAGAACTAGATGTCAGAGCACATCTAAAGATTGTTTTTGAAAGAACGCACCTTTTGAGCCAAAGAGCTGTCTGAATATTCCAATTATCAAGAAACATCTTGAAACTTGTTGACATCTGGAAAAAAAAAGGCAACTTTTTTCTTTGTGTCACAAAATAATGAAGCTTTAAATGTAAGTAATAATATATTATGCTAAAATATTAAAACAAAAAATTACTTAACATCAATGGTAGTATACTGATTTCTCTTTCCTTAATCTTGTTTTTCTAATATAGTAACATCATTCTATGTAAGAGAAGTTTATTGTTGGGAACACTATGAGGTAAATGGATTGTCACTGTTTTCTCCTGTATGTTAACATTTACAAGGGATGTCATGGAATTCTTCCAAGGGAACTCCTGAGAGAGTGTACAAACGCCTTTTGATGGCCTCCCTCTCACACTGAAGACTGGGGTGCCCACCTCATTACCTCCTTCCAGCCAAGCTCTGCCATGGTTCTGGGTGAAGTGGACATCTACCGCAACAACCCGCCCAGCCGTTGTCTCTCAGTGCCCTGGCTACTCTGAATTTTGGGGCTGCCTGGCTCTGTGCTGCCCCTGAAAGAGTAGACCTGCCCACCCAGATCTCTCAGGGCCTCCTATCTTTCCAGTCACTCCCACTAAAGCTGTTCTTCGATCATAGAGGGAGCCCTTGGTCTCCAGCCTACTTTTGTCCTGTGTAACTCTCTCCTTCTCTGGTCTTGACTTCTGACTATTTTAGATTTTGTGTTCCATTATTTACTGCTCTTACATTAGAATCTTCAGTGCTTTTGTTTCTTTTCCTTTCATTCACCTCCCTATCAAAACCCTAACTCTAGATCAACCACACTGTCCACCCGCCCCACTGGAAACATCTGCATGCTGTGTGCAGAGTATCACCACATTCCAGACCTTTGTCTTAAGTTCATGGTTCTCCACCACAACTGAGCCCTCAACCTACCAAAGAATCCTGTTTCCCTAGACAACTAGTTCATTCTCCTCTTCCTGAAAAAAAGCTACTGGACTGAACCATTTGAAATTTTCTCTTTTTTTAAAATAAAATCAAGAAGAGGTAAGTGTCAACAATTTCGCGATTCAACCTGATACCCCATCTATGTCTCTGGTCCTAGCATCTCCTTCCTCCCTCACAACAGGTAAGGTAGCCTCCTACTTTACAGAGATGATATAAAATCATCAGACTCCAAATTCTCACCATCCAACTACACATTCAGCTGCACACACACTTATCCTGCCCTCCTTCCTGTCTTTGTAACAGGAGAGGTTGCCCTTCTCCTTTAGGGCCAGTCTCTCCACTTCCATCTTCTCCGGGACTTCATTGATCAATAGATCTCTCTCTCCTTCAGCTATAGGGAGAGCTTCACACTCTCCCCTTCAAATTGTCTCCTAATCAGTAGACACATTTCAATCCCCATTTTAAAACAAAATTAAACAGCTCTCCTCAATTCCCTGTTCCCCTTAGCTACTGCGCTGTTTCTACCCTCTTCCCTTTATGGAAAATGAACTCCTAGGAGTTGTGTAATCTGGCCCTTATGCCAATCCCTCTCCTGAAACTGTTGTTCATAAAACCATAAAAAAGGATGGGCGTGGTGGCTCATGCTGGTAATCCCAGCACTTTGGGAGGCCGAGGCGGGTGGATCTCATAAGGTCAGTAGTTCGAGACTAGCCTGGCCAACATGGTGAGACGCCATCTCTACTGAAAATACAATTGGCCAGGTGTGGTGGCAGGTGACTGGAATCCCAGTTACTTGGGAGGCTGAGGCAGGAAAATCATTTGAACCTGGGAGGCAGAGGTTGCAGTGAGCCCAAATCCCACTACTGCAATCCAGCCTGGGCAACAGGGTGACACTTCCTCTCAAAAAATAAATAAATAAATACAACCATAATGACGCAGGTATTTGTGTCCTTCTCTTGGTATTTCAGTGGCACTTGGCATTGATGTCCATTTTTTCCTTCAGAAAAATTAATTCCGTTCTTTACTTTTTCTTATGCCATGCACTATCAGCCGGGGTGATAGCAGCCCCGGGAGGATAAAAATGGTTTAAGGGGCAAAAATATCTTTTTTTAATGTATAAATATGTATGCATGCAGTAATATATCAATAGGTATACAGATACCCTGTGTATCTGTAGTATTAAAATTTCAGGGGGGAAATTATTAGGAAAAGAGTGTCCAAAAGTCTCCTTAAGGTGTTAATAATAAACAAAAGGTTAGAAACACTGCTATATCCATCATTCAACTTCAACAATGATCGATTTCTCCCTCTCCTCCATTTTTATTGACAACACTGTTGTTAAGAGTATTTCAAACCAAATACCAGACATCTTACTTCACCTGCAGTTAGTTCAGAATGTACGTCCAATAAAGACTTTTTTAAAAAACCATGATCAGACAAAACTAATAATAATTCTTTAACATCATCTAAGCCCCCTTTGTATTCAAATATTCCTGATTATTTAAAAGGGTGTTTTCCAGTTGGTTTGTCAATCAGGACCGCAAAAAAGGTTCATGCAGTACATCTGGCCAAAGCCTCTTTTAATCTGTAATAGCTTGGGTCTTAATGTCCCAAAGAACTTCCTACTTTTGATCTGATCTGGTGTTTAATAGACTCTCTATACTCCATGTTCCCTCTAAACTTAGAAGGATCTAGAGATCAATTCAGATTTGGTTATCTTGGCAAACTTCAGTGATGGCACTGCTTTTCTTATGGCATCCCATCTCTGGCACTTAATGCCTAACTGCCCACTTTCAGTAATATTAGGGCTCATCAGAGGGTCCAGCTTGACCCCTTCACCTCAAGTTTTGGTAATCTCTCCTATTTGGAATGATCCTTTTCACAGGCTAGCAAAACAATGGTTTGTTCTCTCTCTCTCTCTCTCTCTCTCTCTCTCTCTCTCTCTCTCTCGACAGGGTTTTGCTCTGTCACCCAGGCTACAGTGCAGTGGCACGTTCACGGCTCACTGTAGCCTCCTGTTCCTGAGTACCTGGGACTACAGGTACTCACCACCACACCCAGCTAGATTTTGTATTTTTTGTAAAGATGGAGTTTTGCCATGTTTCCCAGGCTAGTCTCAAACTCCTGAGCTCAAGCAATCTGCCTGCTTCAGCCTCCCAAAGTCCTGGGATTACAGGTGTGAGCCACTGTGCCCAGCTGGTTTTCTCCTTTTTCTTCCTGGCTACTCCTGAATTGCCTTCCTTCGCCCAGCCTCTCAGTATTGGTGTTCCTTTAGACTCTCACCTCTCCTCATTCTCTCTTCCAGGGTTTGAACTGCCACATGCTGATAGTTCCCAGATTTCACTCTCGGGCTCAGGTGCCTCTGCTGAGTGTCTGACCATGATTTGCCTGGTGGACAACTCAGTAAGTCTGTGACTTGAAGATATTACCTGTCCCTTCAAACTCACATCTATTCTCCATTCTTTATCTAAGTGGAAAGTAACACCATAACCCTAGTTGTTTAAACCAGATTTCTGGGCCTGAGTCATAACTTATTCTCTCTTGCTGATCCCAATCTATCACCAAGTTCTGCTGAGTCTCTTACTCAGCTATCCAATATATTTACACGTTTCTAGCCCCACTGGCAGTACATTGTTAGGTCACCATCAACTTGGATTAACAAAACATCCTCCTAACAGAGATCTCTGCCTCTGGAGGGAAATACATTCTATATGCCAGATCCTTTTAAAACACCTATATGATCACCTCACTTGGCTACATATATAATCCATCCACAGTGCCCCATTGCTCTTATAAGAAAGTTCAAAAGTCCTACATGGCTGTAAGAATGTGACTGCCTGGCATCCACTTTCCCAATCACCCTTCATGGCTCCCTAAACTACTAACCAACATGAACTGTACACGTTCTCTCGGCTCCCAGGCTGCTCCCCCTACTTGGAGTGTCTGGCTGTCTCATACTTCTTTGGGACTCAGCTTAAGCACCATTTTCTTTAGGACTCTCTTCCCTCAAACACCTAAACAAAGAAGCTGGTGTTTCATGAACACCCACATCCCTTACCCCTCTCTGATCACCACCTATTTGACCTTAGTCTGTAACCTCTAGGAAATTAAAACTCCATGAGGGACTAAATTGTACCTATCTTATTCATTGTCTTCAGTGACTAGGCTACAGAGTTGACAACCAATATATATTTGTTACATGAAAGAACGAGTGTTAATATTAAAGACCCTTCAATACCACTCCTAGAACATCACAGCATAACCTGTAAAAGCAAACTACAGTACTTAAAGTATACATAGTAACTAACTTCTTCATGATTGACTCACCTCTATTTGTTGAATTCTCAAATTGGAAATTAAGTCCCAGCGAGCTGCTCCATTTTTGTCATATCCTCTAAAACCAAAGCCTGCAGCATTATTAATGGCATCAGCTATAGAAAACAAAATTTTTAAGAAAGTATTAATTATCTCCATAATAATCTACCGTATTCTCCCAGAGGGTATATGTTATTACACCTTTTATTCTTAAACAGTAAAAGTAGATTTATTCCAATTTTTAGGTCAGAAACAATATCACATACAATGAAAAAAACACATCCAGGACAATTAGTCAATAAAACATGAGACATTATGCATGAGTTGAGGGTAGGTGGAGTTTAAAAGCTGCTGAGGACTGACAGGTAAAGGCGAAGACTCATACAGGAAATGCTCCCCAACATGAGCTGTGTCAGTGGAATGAAGCAGAGTATGCTCGACCAGCTGCCAAGAAATTGCTAAGCTTAGGGAGGTTTTGCCCTGGAAGCACCATGCTCTTTTTAATCATATATTTGAACTTTATTATAAACAATAATATATAAGTGAGGCATAATAGTTTCCTTCCATTTTTCTTCTTTCTTGGTTCACCATAACTTTATTTTTCCAGAATTTTTAAAAAATAGAGATATGGTCTCCCTCTGTCACTGCCCGGCTGGAATAGCAGGTTTATAGCTCACTGCAGCTTTGAACTCTTAGGCTCAAGCAATGCTCCTGCCTCAGCCTCCTCAGTAGCTGGGACTGCAGGTGTGCATCATCATGCCTATTTTCTTTTTTTTGTAAAGATAGAGTCTCACTATGTTGCCTAGACTGGTCTCAAACTCCTGGCCTCAGTTGATCTTCCTACCTTGGCCTCCCAAAGTGCTGGAATTTCAGGCATGAGCTACAGAACCCAACTCAGAATTTGTTTTCTAATCCTTTTCACCACAATGCTCAATTAATCACTTTTGCTTTATGTAAATGCTTGATTAAGCTGCAAAGAAAATTTCTGCCTCAAATGAGCCCTTTTCCAATCAACTTGAAAACTGTTTATGCTATGTGTATAATGACCAAAGAATAAACAAACTGAAATCCATCAAAGCCCAGCAAAATAATATGCCTATATGAACACGTATCTTTAAATTGTTTTATTGTTTATTAGTGTATTTTAGTACATCAAACAATATCTTTTAAAAACTACACTTTGGGGGAAAAGAATAAACAAGATTTACTACTCCGTCAGATTTAATGAGGTCAGCCACCTTTGTTCAATTCACATATGTGCCTTTAAAGTAAGCATAATAACAGATCCAACAGAATTAAAAGTAAACTCTATGAACCACATGGACAGCATACCCATATAAATGGCTGCTGGGAACTCCCTCCCTCCAGCATGGTTGCCACCACTTCTGATTTGTTCATGTATTCACCCTCTCCACCTTTTTTAGCCTACTGTGATCTGAGAGCAATGAAACTCCTAATCACATTCTCATTCGGCAACAAGATTGACTCAGGGTATGGTCAACAGCAACAAAACGAGAAGAGAACTGGGGAAATCAAACTGTGGGTGTCCACCTTCCATGTCCCTTGTCCCCCAATCTCCCTCCACAGACCCCACCTAATCTTTACCCCAGGTTACGTAACTCCCAAGAGAGCTTGCAAGTTGCCATTATATAGAGATCTTCCAAGTAACTGACCATTAACATCAATTCAATCTGTCCTTACATGGGCTAAATGTTTTTCGAACTTGAGTTAGAGGGAAAAAACTGCTCAGATCCCAATAAATCCTTTTTTTGAGGTGATAAGGAGAAAAGTGCAGGGCCACGGGGCTGTGGAGACAAGAAACCTGATTCCTACTTGAGAACCCTGAATTAAGGAATTAAACATAATACAGTCTGCCTATCTACCAGCATCCATGAAATTATAATTTGAAAAATGTACATGTGGACACAAAAATCAGCAAGTAACTGTCCACATGATCCAGAATACATTCATACTATTTTTTAAATTATTAACAAAATACAAAAACAAAATTAAAGAATTTTGGAACTGTTAGATTTCCCAAAAACAGATTTTTGAACCTCCAGAGATCATTAAACTCCAATTTCACAACCAAATAGACAGTTAAAAAAAGGTAATGGGGCAGAGATGAACATGGGCACATGCATGCTGAGCCTCAGCTGGTTTCTCCACTGACAGAGCTGACACCAGAACTTCAGGGCTTAACCATTACTAGGACCTCAACCATTACTTGTGTTAAGACAGTACAGACACAGTGTAAGTATTTACTGAATGAAATAACTTTATTGCCTTACAGATAAAAATTCTTAAAATTCTTTAAATATAGTTCAATTTCAAATTGTCATTCATATATATTCTAATATGATTATTTCTTTAAAGAAGAAACAGGGAAAATGAATTAACTCACCTTTTATTTGGTTTCTAAGTATGTAAAAATGCACAAGATTCATTTTTCAAACCAGATACTGGGGTTGGGGATAAGTAGCCTAAGAATCATTTTAATTGTCATAATTGCAAACAAAAAATTAATGATGAATTTTCTTTTTTTCTTTTTTTTTAAAGGCAAGGTCTCACTCTGTCACCCAGGCTGGAGTGTAATGATACGATCACAGCTCACTGCAGCCTCAACTTCCCTGGCTAAAGCAATCCTCCCACCTCAGACTCTTGAGTAGCTGGGACCACAGGTATGCACAACCACACCTAGCTAATTTAAAAAAAAAAAAAAAATTTTTTTTTTTTTTAAAGAGATGGGGTCTTAACATGTTGCTCAGGCTGGTCTCAAACTCCTGGCCTCAAGTCATTCTCCTGCCTCAGCCTCCCAACGTGCTGGGATTACAGGCATGAACTACTGCTCCTGGCCTAATGATGAATCTTGCGTATTTTTACATGTTTACAGAGATTTTGTGATTTTTCTCAAAAGCCCTATAAATTCAATGACTTCATTCCATTTGACAGATTTTCAACAATAAGATGTCCAACCAAATCCAAAAACATGCAGAACTCTTATAATTCTGTAACAGTGATTCAACAACAGGTCACAATTCTGATAAAACCCTAAAAGTACCAGGTGTTTGGGAAAGTTCTCAGTCTCAATTTAAAGTCAGAATTCAAGTAGTACGGGAATCTCATTTGATATTACTGATGTCTAAATTTGGCTACAATAAAAATGTTCAATCTTTAAAGAAATATTAGATTAAAATCCATAAGGTAACATTCTATTTTCATTGGCCATTAACTCACCAGGTTAAAGTAACTTTTAATGATACTATTGTGCATAGTGGTATGACGAAAGATTGAAAATAATGATTCCAGCCCCAAACCGTATTTTATAATAATGAAATCAAAATAAAACTGAGAGTAAAATGCCAAACCTCAGAGGCCTAATTATCGCCCTCGTTTGGCCGATGTGTTTCTTCGTGCATTTATTCAAATATTCGTTGAGTACCAAATATAAACAAGGCAATCAGGACACTCATAAGAATAAAGGAGCTTACACTCTTGTGGGTGAGATAAAGGACAACACACACATAAAAGAGGTTTCAATTTATTCATTGAAAGATTCTCTCTACATGAGTTCAACCTTCAAAACGTGGCCAGAATTATCTTCTTCCATCACAGGATCAGGCCATCAGGCTGCCTGAAGCCTCTTGTGGCTCATTCTGCAGGGCAGGCAAAGCCCTGTGAAAGCCCATTTCACCTGAGCAGGTCCCTCCTGCTAACATCTGCCAGGAAAATCAAGATAGCTCCATGTCTCCTTGCTCATAAGTGCAAAACTAGCCATTTTTCAATTGCTGAAATCACATTCAATCTTTCTGTTTTTGTTTTTGAGACGAAGTCTCACTCTGTTGCTCAGGCTGGAGTGCGGTGGTACAACCATGGCTCACTGCAGCCTCAGACTCCTAGGCTCAAGCGGTCCTCCCACCCCAGTCTCTCAAGTAGCCGGGACTACAGGTACATGCCACCAGGCCTAGTTGACTTTTAACAATTTTTTTGTAGAGACAGGGGTCTCACTATGTTGCCCAGGCTGGTCTTGAATTCATTTTTCAAACCAAATATTGGGGTTGGGGATCAGAAGTATCCTAAGAATCATTTTAATTGTCATAATTGCAAACAAAAAATTAATAATGAATCTCCTGGCATAACTGATAACCCCCTATCAGTGTGCCAATATCATTTTATTCGCTTTGCTAATTAACTACTGATTATATTATACTATGGTTAATGGTCTATTTAACAGGTATCATAATGATAAGCTGAATACAATCATACTAACTTATAACCATCTGGAGAATAAGGACTATGTCTTTTTTTTTTTTTTTTTTTGAGACGGAGTTTCGCTCTTGTTACCCAGGCTGGAGTGCAATGGCGCGATCTCGGCTCACCGCAACCTCCGCCTGCTGGGTTCAGGCAATTCTCCTGCCTCAGCCTCCTGAGTAGCTGGGATTACAGGCAAGCGCCACCATGCCCAGATAATTTTTTGTATTTTTTTAGTAGAGACAGGGTTTCACCATGTTGACCAGGATGGTCTCGATCTCTACACACTAGTATCTATTCTGGCTAGCACTGAATCTAGAATACAATAGGCATTCAACAAATATCTGTTATATTTCCATTGATCAATTGATTTTTATTTTGTATTATAATAAAATTGATTGTTTTATAATAAAATTGATTCTGTTTTTAGAATATCCTTACATATGAACTGTGAGGTCTGTGTCTTCTACATAGATGACTTAATTTTTCCAATTGGTCTTCACATATCCTCAAGAGGGCGCACTGATAGCAATCTATCAACAAGGTAAGACTGCTTCAACACAGACACAAGGAAGTCTATTTACATGTTACTTACCTAGCGTCCATGCAAAATAGTATTTGGGTCTGGCAGCCAAAAGAGAGATATATAGATAGATAATCTTTGTTGGCCATGAAGCTGTAGCTTGAAAATGCTCGTCAATGTTGTACTCCACAGGTAATGTTGTCGAGATGGTCAAGTGAAATAACAAGGACAGCCCGCAAACTAAGAGCTTTTGAATTACCGCAGTCTGAAAAGTGCAAGGCGAGACTTCATCAACTTTATCCATGCTCCTTTTAATTCATTCTATGTATTATCAACAGACTGATCTTCCTCAACATCCGTCCTACAATTCTTCTGGTCAAAATTCAAGAACTAAATTGCACTTGGCGTTTAAAGTTTTCCATAGTCTCATGGTATGAACTTTTCCAACTCTGTAAGTACTATCTAGGGGTTACTGCTCAACTCATACTAAAACCTCTATTTGTGTATTCAGAACTTTCAGGAAATCAAGAAATCTAAAAGCAAGCATTAGTGTATCAGTGTGAATGGAAGTGAATACAAAAAACAATATTAATTACTTTTGGCAATAAATTTTATATGGAGATATATATATATTTCCCATTGTGTCTTTTCTGTATTTTCCAAATTCTAGGCATCTCATGGACGTTATTTTTACAATAAACAATCTATGCATCTCTGTAAATCTGAAAGTTAACACAACTTTGTTCAAGAATAATAAAAACCAAAAGAGTTACACACCTGAGAAGAATAAAGTGTGCATAAAAGACTGGTGAAAGAAGAGGCTATTCTTAGCAACACTGCGGTAAGTTTACATTACCAACTCAGGGTATTCTGTATTTTTACAACTCATGCTGTTTTTATATTTGTAGAAGGCCAGAATATTTCAACTTCATTTGGTATAAGAGAGATTACATAGGCTATGAAGAAAAAGAAACAAGCAGAGAAAAGACTAGATCCAGATGAAGTATGCAACAAAATAACTGGATTTAGAAGTGATCCATACAGTAACCAAATAGTATTCAAATTAACTGAAGTAATTTATCAATGAAGTGCCACATTTTAACACTTTATGTAATAGTGCCAAAAGAAAAGCTCCAAGGCAAGAGCCAAAGCATATGCCGGATGCACTGCATTTTTGGAAACAGTATTTTATGACTGGGCTGTTCCTGCAAGGTGGTACTCAGTGTTCAAGGACTCTGTGCAGCAGCTGTTATTCTCGTTTTCCATTGTCTTTTAATGAAATAAGGCTACTTTTTCCTTAGTGCCTCCCAAATATCTTACCTTTACATTTGAATTATAAGATTTTAAAATGGTAGAGAAAAAATAGTAATTATAAATGAAGCAAGATGAAATAAATGGCCTCCATATTTTAATTTTAAAATGAGGCATATCGTTTTAATAACATAATAAGAAACCTGTAGCCACTAGACTGAAGCAGGGTAGGGATATGGTGCTGCAATGAAAATGTAGAGAACACAAAGACAGCCGGTATCCTAAGAGGTGATATCCTCAACCCCCTTCCCCTGCCCAGACCCAGAGTCCCAGCAGTCAAGTTTGTATGTCCTAGGCTGAATTCCGGAGAATCTTTCACTCAAAAAACAAAACAAAACAAAAACGAAGAGCCCCAGAGAAACGTCCTACATATGTCATGACAGAGACTGCCAAGTGTTACCCGGGAGCCCTTCTCCCCTTCCTGCACAGAAAAAGAAATTTCTCTTGGTTGCTTGGAAGTCTAGCTAAAGATGACACATCAGCACCTATGGTATACACGAGTGTGGCTATGTGATTAGGGTCTGGCCAATAGGATGTGAGCAACAGTGATTTATACAGGGAAGACGGAGTGTAGATCTCTCACATCATGGGGCCCCCATGTTATTAATGCACTGCTTACAGGTGACTGTCCCACATATAACATAAAAATAAATTTCTACTTTAAGTTCCTGTTATTTTGGTCCTTGTTTCAGCAGCCAAACCCGTATCCTAACTGATGCAGACGGAGGAGAGGACAATGGAGAGGTCCCCGACAGAAGAGCCAGTGGGCTCCACGAGCATCCTTTTTTAGATCCCAATAATCTACATACTCCACTGATGCACAAGGAGCATCTAAATGCCATTTGAGGGACTTATTACTGACTATCATTATTTGACATTATAAAGCATACAAATGTAAAATTTAAATCAAATATATTATTTAAATGGTGGAAAAACACATTAGGAATATTTGCCATTATCAACAACCTCTGAGTTAAGATGTCTATAACGCAAAAGAGGAAAGTGACATTTTATGAGAATAAAACCCATAAAAACTCAGTGAATTAATAGAATATATACGTGTGTATTATTCTTTGTCGAATTTGATTTACTACTATCACATGTTTATAACATTTGACATTTTCAAGTATTTTACAAAATCGTTTGATCTTCATACAGTCTCTAAAACGGGGAAGACATTAGGATTCTCCTTTTGCAGAGAGGGACTCATACACATTAAGCAATGTGCGGAAATGAGGAGCCAAACTGGCCACTGAGAGTCCAGCATCTTGATTCCTAGGCTTTCATTCTCCTTCTAGCATTCTAGAATAAACTTCTAAGATGCTGTCTACAATTGTCTTTACTTTCTCTTACAGCAGGGAAATCACTAAAAGATTAAGTGGTCATCCTGGAGATACAAAACAGTCAATGAAAAGACACCAATTTCAAGTCTGGAATCCCATCCAGTTTGATATGACACTTCTCAACACTTAACCAGTAATAGAAAATATAAAGAGAAAAACACCATTGTGGTATAAAATACAATGAGCCACATGGTAGGAAAGAGGCAATATACTATCTTTTGCGAAGGCATGCACATCTCTATATTCACTCTTTGTTGCCCACACAGTGGAGGGTGGTAGATTTGCAGGATAAGGGAGGTCACGTCACCCCTTGCTCTAAACCCTGCATTCAGGGAAAACACACTAGCCCCTTTCCTTCAACTCACAGGCTTCCAGATTGGGCTCTTCTTTTTCATGGAAACTTTAGATTTTACCAAATGAAGTCTAACAGAAACTTAGCCTATAGAGAGTCTCAATGCCTTTCTTTATGCAGCAGCATCCCAGCTGCTTCATAAGTTTCAAGTACCCCAGTGGCTCAAAGAAAGTAAAAATTATGTTTGGTTGTAAGGCAACTTAGCACAGACTTGGAACCAGATTGCACTAGTTTGAATTCCAGTTCTACTGCCAACCTGGGAAATCTTGGTCAAACTTAGCCTCTGAGTCTTAGTTTCCTCATCTGTTAGATGGTGAGAAAAACAGTGCCTGCCTCGTATGACTGCTATGAGGGAGGGCTAAAACAAAGGTGTGAGGTCCACACCACAGAGCCTAGCACATGGTGAGCACTGTCAAAGTGTTAGCTATTATTAATATATTTATAATATTACTAATCTCTTTACTGTGGGAATGAGGAGCTGTTTTGTGGAAAAGATGATATTTGAAGTCGGCCTTTAAAGGAAAGAAAGATTTCAACTGGCAATAATTAAGAAGAGGAAGGGGCAAGTAAAAAAGAAATGGAGTACTCAGAGTGTTTACAATCTGCTGGAACACAAGGCAGAGGTTAAGACAATCAGACAGAATGAGGAAGCGAGGGAGGGAGGGATGGAGGGGAGGAGGGAGGGGGGAGGGATGGAGGGAGGGTTGGAGGGAGGGAGAGGGGAGGGAGGGTAGGCCTGGAAAATCATTAGGCTGGCCAATTCCATAATAAGAGCTTTCTTGTAAAATTCCCTGTAACTATAAAGTATTATTCTCATGAAGGAATTCAGCACATACTTTCTGAAGTGACTTTATTTATGTTCTTTAATCATGACTGTACTTCTACTAGGTATCACCATTAAGTAACAGTATGAAGAGTCATTTATCTTGAAAAGTATTTTTAAAGAAATACATGGATAAGTTCGAAATGTGAAAATATTTGTATCTTTAAATAAATAAGACTAACCAATACATGCTATGAAGGCTCTAGATAAATCTCATGACCTTACATTTGGAGATGGCTCTGTTCTTTCAGACTGTATCTCTTCTTTTCCATTTTCACCTGATTGTGTCGTATGGTATGATCTGCCTTCAATGAAAGTAATGTAGTCTTTGTAAGAGCAGAGTGGGCCTGCCAGGATCCCCATGAAGTTACAGTTGTAACTCAAATACTCCAGTAGGCTTGGCATGCGCCTGCAATGAAAAGACATGCAATCAGTGAGATGCAGCGTAAGTTTTCAGAACATTTGATAGAATAATCATCCACCTCACTGTTCCCCATTTCCAAAATAAGACAAGCTTTAATTTTCATTTGCACCCACAAAACAAAAATTTTCAGGCTCAGGACACAGTCATGCTCAACAGTGTGTCTGAATAAGAGCTTCTTTACAGATCCTTACGGGCAAATATGAAGGTTTCGACTTAGATTTCTCATGATGAAACAAATCAAAGACAGGTGCACTATCCATAAAGTGGTGTCTCTTCCCAGGCAATCATTCACTCTTGTAAAAAACACCTGCTGCACACCATGCGCTCCACATACTCCAGGGCCTGGACACAGCAGGAAACAAAGAGAAGGCAATCCTACAGCCACACGGCTTGCACGCCAGTTGCAGAAAACAACAATAAAATATATAAAAAGTATTTTCAGAGATGCTAAGTGCTACAAAAAGAAGGAACTCTTTTACGATGTTAAGAAGTCAGAGAAGGAAGGCCTCTCTGGTAAGGTGACATCTGAGCAGAGACCAGAAAAAAGTGACAGGAATAACGTGGACAGGGATTCCAGGCAGAGGGAATGATGTGTGAGGACCCCTGAGCTGGGCATGCCTGGCAGCAAGGAGACCATGGGGCTGGAGCAGAGTAGTCCCAGGAGAGGAGGTAGGAGCAGGGCAGACAGCTGAGCTGAACCAGACAGGGCCTGCCTTATTAGCCATGGCAGGGACTTTAGATTTTATTCTGACTTATATGAAAAAACATAGCAGGGTTTTAAAAGTCCTATGTCTGAAAACACATCACTCCAGCCCATGTGTGGGGCTCCTGCTGTCTCCAGGCAGGAGGTGACGATGGCTGAAGGAGGGGGCAGACACTCTGCACGTGTCCTGGCAGTGGAGCCTGAAGGCTGCTGAGGGATTGGCTATAGGGTGGAAGAGAAAAGGGAGTCAAGAATGTCTCAAAACATTTTTAATTCCATTCCTTAGAGGTCTGTCCAAATGATACACAGTACCTATGGGTAACAGGGTGAAAACAGTTAGTTAATACAAGAGACTGTTTAGACAATTTATGTTATCATATAAATGAATAAGGAGTGTGTATTTAAAAAAAAAACAGTTCCATTAAGAAAGCCTACTGTCACATAAGCCATCACAAAGAAACCACAACTGCACCTGTACACAGCAGGCAGGCTTTTGAACATGTCACAGTCCCTCCTCCTCTCTGAATAGGATAAGCTGTCTCCTTAAAATATACAAACACTCTTGTGGACAAGAGAGGTTGAAAGAATACCCTCATAATAGTATGTATTTAAAAAAAAAAAAAAAAACTAAGAGATAGGTCTTGTTATGTTGCCCAGGCTGGACTCAAACTCCTGAGCTCAAGCAATCCTTCTGCCTTGGCCTCCTGAGTAGCTGGGATGACAGGCACTCACCACCTTGCCTAGCTTAGCATACACTATTTTTCTTTGAGAAATTACACAGAACAAAATAGTGATCCTGCCCATCTGATACTATCTAGGTTACCACTCAGCCAAAAATACTTTTCTAACGTTTCCAGAATTATTTTTCCACTTTTAAAAATGTCTTGAACCTTAAGTATTTTCTTCTCAGGGCTTGAAATTGATGACAGAAAATGTTTCTGGCAGATTATCTCTTTTAGTTATTTCTATTTAATGATGAAACAGCATGCTTTCTCACTGTATCAAAGACTGGGGTAAGTACCCTGCAGTCACAACGGTACAAAAGAACTCCTTGTACTCCAGCAACAGAGTTTCATTCTCAATACCAATTATTTTAACACCAAGTCAACTATGTATCACCATTAGCAAGGACAGGAGGAGGTTCTTAACCATGAAACTTGCTTAAGTAACTTTTGGCTCCACTGTCCTATCAAACAACAAGTAATTTTAGGTACTGAAGTAAATTACTACACTTTTTTATAAAATCAGAACTTAAATCTAATTGTAATGTAGAATATAAAACAAAAGATTCATTCACTCATTCCATTGATAATTATTTGATATCAACTATGTCCTGTCTCAAGTTTGGGCTTCTCCCTGTGGAATTATTGACACTTTGGACCCCTAGTTCTCTGTTGTGGCATCCTCCTGCACACTGCAGGGTGTTTAGCAGCACCCCCTAGGCGCTCCCCACCAGATGTCAGTAGCACCACCCCCTGAGCAGTAACAACCAAAAATGTCTGATGCTTGGAGGCAAAATCACTCCAAATAATGAACCAAAACTTAGATAACGGGGACAATAAATGAGACAAAGTTCTTGTCTTCAATGACCCTACATTGAGGGGCAGGGAGAGGGACAATTAAAACCAATGTCTTGTATAACATCAGACAGTAATACCTACTATTGAAGAAAACAAAGCAGAGCAAAGGGACAGAAAGCGATGGCAGGAAGGGAGGGGTATTTTTGATAGAGTGGTTTGCACAGTAAAGAATGGATGGAGTGAGGAAGCGTGGGCGAGCTCTGGGCTCTTGCTGAGCCTTATATGCCGTGGCCCGGGGTTTATAATTCTATTCTAAGTTACAGGGGAAGCCACTGGAGGATTTTCATCAACGGAGGGGAATAATATAATCCAATGCACATTAAAAGCTCTCTGGCTGCTAGCTGAAAAGTAGGCTGCACAGGGGATGGGAGATAATAGGGATGCCAGGTAGGAAAGCTCCTACAGCAGACCAAGTAGAAAATGAGGGTTTGTGCTGGGATGTGACCTGTGGAAGTGGTGAAGATCAGTCAGATCAGAGATGAATTTTAAAGGAAGGGCTAACTTACCTTGCTGGTGAACTGTATTTGCTATAAGAAAAGGGAAGTCCCCCCAAGCCACCAGTGATAATGCCACTGTTATTAACTAAGTGGGTGATAATGGTGGAGGAACAGATGTGGAGGAGGAAGGAAGAGGGAAACAAACTAGAAGTTCTGTTTTGAACATGTTCTGTTTGAGCTGCCTGTCACTATCCATGTAGAGACCTTAAAATAGCAGTTGAATAAATGAGGCTGGAGCTGAGGGGACAGGATTGTGTGGGAATATAAATTTAGGAGACTTCAAACACGAAGATGGTATTTAAAGTCAATGGATGTGACCACCTGGAGAAAACGGAGAGGTCCAGGTCTGAGCCCTGGAATACAGCAGGTTATTCCTGTGGTAAGGCAGAAGCAGGGTCAGAGGATTCAGCAGAAGAAACAGAGAGTCAGTGAAGGAGGAGAAAAAGGGAAAGAATGGAGTGTCCTGGAGGAAATGAAGAAGGTATTTCAGAAGAGTGGCCAGCTGGCTAGTGCTGTTGAGGTTCAGCATCATGCAAACAGGCTGACAATGAAATTGGCCAAGATTAAGTCTTGAAAGAATGATTTCAGACCAAGAATGGGGACAAATACCTTAATGCAGGGAGTTAAGGAGAGAATGGGACGGACACTGAATGTCGACAAAGCCTTCAAGAAGTGCTCTTCTAAAGGAGTGTGCAATAACGGGGTGATGGCTAGAAAGGAATGAGAGGTGCCATGAGCTTGCTCTGTTCAGGTGGTGGGGATGGCCCAATGGAGAGGGAGAAATCTGTGAGTGAACAGACAGGAGTAACTGACACAGCAAAATCCTTGAGAAGGAAGTGGACTCCGTGCCGCAGTCAGAAGCTGGCCTTAGATTATGGACAGCTAGTATTTGATACCAGGGATGAAAGTAGAGCACTGTGTTACAGATTCAGGCATCATTGTAGATTTGGTGGTTGCAGAATCAAAGTAGGATTTCTTTTTTTTCTCTCCAAAAATATAAAATTTTGCTACCAACATGAGTAGCGGGGACAGAGTGTTAAAAGTCTGGGAGAAAGGAGAATATATCATATTAGGAGAGTGTGGGAAACGAGTGGACTAAGGAAATGTGATCGAGACACTGGCAATACTAAGAATCCTAACTTTAAATTTGGAGTAACAAATTCAAAATGAGTCCAGTCAGCGAGAATATGTTTTTCCACTCAGCTTTCTTCCACTGTTCAGGTAGGTGGAGAGGTTGGGTTACCTAGGTCTGGGGATTTGCTCTCGATGGGAGAGGCACAGGGGAAATGGGGGCTGAGTGTAAATGAGTAGCTACTAGGATAGCCCAAGGGTCCCAAAAGATCAAAGAATCCAGACCAGATTAACCTCTAGTCAGAAAAGTATACTCAAGTGTGTATTTACTGCTATACAAAGACTGACTATAGAGGATATCAGAATAGAACATTTTTAAAGATGGGGAAAATATAAAAAGATCCCTAAGACATGCTACCTGGGATCAAAGATGAATGAATACTTAGTGTAGTTCTAAATAATATCAAAAACAATCTCATTCTTCTAGCAGTTATGTACTTATTCATTCTAGATTTAGAAACAAGGTAATCTACAGATAATTTTTCTTTAAGTACAATGTGTATTCCATCTCAAATTATTTTAGATTGAGATGGACCCTGTGAAATTAAGCCATTTCTTAGTCATCAGAGTATCTTCAACAAATGAAGTAGAAGCCTATCCCAGATGAATTCCTCAAATAATAATGAGAATTATCTGACTGGTTCTTTATTATTTCAAAATATGGTATCTATGTGCTATATTAATGCATTATATCTTAGCCCAGTACCTGCCATCAAATTATTGGCCTGTAAATGGTACCTGCAATTACTATCAGTAATTAGTAGATGGCAGACATGAAGACGATACTATCCTCCTGTCTTCAAGGAACTCAGAGTCTCACAGGGACAAAAACTAGCAGCTAGCCTCATGGCCCACAGGAGTCATACATGTACAACCACATAGGCAGGGTGCTGCAGGAGCCTTAGAGGGGATACCCAGTCCCACCCAGCAGGCTTTGGCAGGAGGGAGGTGTGTGGAGGGAGTGAGGCTTGATTTTCAGAAGTAAGTACCTCTAGAAGAACGAGTAAGCCTCAGCCACAGGAGGAATGTGGGTCCTAGGCAGAGGCACGGGAAGCATGACAGGATACGATGCAAAGGCACATACCTTACAGCTAAATCCCTCTGTGAGGAAGTCAGTTCTTCATCCTTCCGAAACATCCCTGAGAAACAAAAATAGGTACTTTTATCAATTAAGATTTCTCCCAAAATGACATTTTTGCCCATGCACACTTTCATTACTTTCCTCATTTGAAATTCACGCTATCATATTCCCAATTTTGATATAATGACTATTCCATTCCTTCTTACGGCAACACAGGCTCGATCATGTGAAAAGTCTTTATAAAATAATACATGGTTGGTCATCTGATTCCACTCTAAGGGAAGTTATAACTAAACTAAAGAATTCCCAATGCTGGCACTTTTTAAATTATAATGTTATTGTCCTTAACTGTAAATGCTATAACTTTTCAAAAAGGGCCATTACAATTTTTTTATTACTGGATAACTTAAATGACTACACATTAGTACTATCAACTAGAAGCTCAACATAAAGCAAGGAGCAATTTCCTTACTCTTCATGACTCCAATGCATGGAAACCAAACTCAAATATATGATCTTTATCCATCTATTTACCTTCTCTTCAAAGAAGAGGATATATTATTTAAGATTACACATCAACTTACTAGATCCATATGCTTTGAAAATATATATACCTCAAATCCAATTTAAAGAGTAAAGGGAAACTAAATTAAAAAGCAAACAGCAACATTAATATTAATAAAGTGTTAATATTCCCAAAAGAAACAAAGCTAAAGTAATTAAAAAACACTGAAATAGACCAAACTAAAAACATGAAAAGACAAATAATAAAAGAAATACATGTAGCCAACTAACGTGAAATGTTAATTTCACGATTAACAACATTTTTATTATAAACCATTAAGTGTACATTAAAAGAGCAAGATGCCATTTTCACTTTTTATAAGTATGCAGAAATTTTAAAGGGCTCTTACTCATACTGTACAATCTAAATTATGTAAAACACACATTTTATGTATTTTATATGTATATAATACAAAGATGAAAAGAAAATAATTACTGCCTTAAAATGTCTCTGAAACTATTCTATGCACTGAGGAAAGAGCAGAGGAAAAACAAACTCCCTACTTTTATAACACTTATAGTCTAGTAGGGAGACAGAAGATAAACAAATAAATGAGCTACCAAGAGGAACTCATATCTTTCTGTAAACCAGTATAGCAAACACTTTAGATATCTTTCTACCCTCTATTCCTAAAACTCTAGCCCTAAGGAAATAACTGAAGGTGTGATTCAAGATATATGACACAGATCATCACATGTTTATACATAATAGCAAAAAAAAAAAAAAAGTAGCAACCTATATATGCTACAATTGAAGAATGGGAATATATTATACATTCCACTTTTGACAATTATGTAAAAAGAAAACTATGCCTCATAAGATGATAAAGGCAATTTAATTAAAAAAAAAAAAAAAAAAGAAGGGACCAGGCACAGTGTCTCACACCTGTAATCCCAGCAATCTGGGAGGCCAAAGCAGCTGAATCGCCTGAGGTCAGGAGTTTGAGACCAGCTTGGCCAACATGGTGAACTCTTGTCTCTACTTAAAAAAAAAATAAAAAAAATTCGCCAGGCATGGTGGTGCGTGGTGCATGCCTGTAATCCCAACTACTCAGGAGGCTGAGGCATCATGAGAATCACTTGGATCTGGGAAGTGGAGGTTGCAGTGGGGCCGAGACTGTCTAAAAAAGAAGAAGAAGAAGGAGGAGGAGGAGGAGGTCTTCTGGCTCTGAGGATTGTTGGGGGAGGGATACAGAAGATTATTTTTTTCTTTGTATTTCCAATTCATGTTTTTCAAATTTTCCTCAATGATCACATACCTACTTTTTATAATCAGGAGGAAAAAAAAATACTTTAAAAAAAAGAGGATCAAAGATGAGAAAAAGGTAAAATACTATCAGGATTTAAATGCTAAAAAAGGGTAACTCCTACTTGTGACAATTCTCTTTTGTTTTCCCATATCAGATACACTGCTGTCCACCCTTTCCTTAAAAAAACAAGAGCCATCTTTAGAAATGAGGATAAGTATTCGATTGTTTAAAATTTCTTATCCTTTTTTTCCTCATGCTTTTACCAGAAGGGTGACATGTTAATAGTTTTATTTGTGATTTCAAGCTTTGCCATACATAAACTATGCTGTTAGGTTTAGTCAGCATTTCCAAGTAATGGGCATAGGGTGGGTCTCTACACCAGTTCAGCCTGCCATGTTGCTCAGATAAGCTCTTATTGCTTTCAAAGTATAAACTAGCCAATCAAAGTAGACACGGAGCTTAAAGGATAGCGTTACATAGAACAAACTTGTGTCAAAAGTCTACACGCACAACAAGCTCAGCCTCCCTTCTCAGTTCACAATTTGGGAACTTGCCAAAAGAATCACCAAAAACCAATTAAAGACAAGATATCATTTTTTAACGCTAGAAGTCTAACCAAGTACAGATAAGGCAGTCCAGCAAACAACGGGATACAAGAAGACTTCTGAGCCCCAGCGTGACAACACGTTGTTGGCAGAGGCTGAACGCCTGCCACTGTTTGTTGCTGCTGTGTCTAACAGCTGATGCCGGTAGTCCAGAGATTCTACTGTGATGCTTAGTTGCCCTGAATACACTATTTTTTCACTGTATCAATGGAATGGTATATTTTCCACTGTTTAGTACTTAGGTATGACTAGATATAAGAAAATGATTGCTTATCATTTTTATGTAAATTCGGAGTACAGGAATCCTGGTGATGCCAAACAACCACTGATTACCCACATGGGTGGCTGCACCAGTGACACCTTTGGTTTCTGATGGTTCGATGTACACACATTTTGTTTCATGCATAAAATTATTAAAAATAATGCAGAAAATTACCCTCAGTCTATGTGTATAATGTATATATAAAACAGAAATTAATTCTGTGTTTAGACTTGGGTCCCAAGATATCTCACTATATGTATGCAAAGATTCCAAAATCCAAACAAATCCGAAATTGGAAACACTTCTGATCTCAAGCATTTCATATAAGAGATACTCAACCTGTACAAACATTCAGTTAGCTGAAGTATTCCTACTGTAAGGTGACATCAATGAAGCTGCCAGCAAGAAAACCAGCTATGCTACCCCTAAAGGCCACAATACAAGTCAGACTTCAGGACCAAACATGCCAGCAGGTTATTTTAGTCATTCATCCTAAGCCCTCAGCAATCTTATACAGACAATTCAAAGCCGAAGGGTAAACAGGCTCTGTTATGTGAGGGTGATGAAATGTCTTAAAAACCATGCCTAGAAATATCCAAAGATACAGTAACACCTGCTTCCTGAGGATGCAAGTATGAATGATGCTGCTGGATTGATAGTTGAGAAACAGACACAGTTATAGATAATTTACTTAATTTCATCTAGGAGTGGTCCAGAACCAGACTGTGCAGAAACAGGTTAACACAGTTCTGAGTCTGCTGTCCTTAGTAAGCCCTTCTTATAAGGTGTGCGCTGGTCCACAGTCTCCTACACTGATATGAAATGTTCCCTATGCCTAGCCTATTTGTGTCAACAATATGGTTTATTTTGAACACCTGCTTTCCTTCTGGGAGCCTGGAATTTGGTGTGTGTTAGGCAGCGGGAGCCTATGTGACCAGCCCCTAATAAAAACTTTAAGAGTTTCCCTAATAAACACTTCCCAGCTGTTGTCACAATTTGTTGCTGGGGGAATTAAGTACGTTCTTAATTCCCCCAGCAATAAATTGTGAAAAACTAAGTGATTCCCCTGGGAGAGGACTTCTGGAAACTTGCGCCTGGTTTCTTCTAGACTTCACTACAGGCACCATTGCATTTTACTAACTTTACTTGGAATCTTTTCACTGTAATAAATGTTAGCCATGAATACAACTACATGCTAAGTCCTGTGAATCAACAAACTGGGAGTGGTGTTGGGGTCCCTCGACACACAGATAATAAGGCCCTTCTTTGAAAGACTAGCTGAGAAAACACAGATTAGACAGGGTTCAATCCATCCTTTGGGAATAAAGGGGTAGGTGGTATCGGGAGTGGCAGATCTGTAGCAGACTGTCTCAGAGGATGTACTGAAGCAAACCAGAAGAGGAATCCAGTTTGAAAAGTTAAAGGGTATGAACTCTTCAAATGCTGCCAAGATTAATCAAAATCTAAACTGTTCTAAACAGATAATTACCATTAAATCCATTTAAAAGAAGGGGTCACAAAAAATGGGGTTTGTTGTGCTTCTAATTCTGAGTTGAATATATATTGTCATCAGATACTTATAGACCTATGGACAAAATAATATCCTTGATCCACAACTTTCCTATATTCTCTTTCCAGTGTCACAGGAGTAACCTGTTATCAGCATATTACAGAAGTTTTAGCACCTGAAAATAACTGTATGCTTTTACCTACAGTGTTTTCTAGTATAAGTTTTATAACTACAATCTTGTATCAGGATCTGGTGAGTTTCGCCAGATCACTTCATTGATCAGAATGCAAGAACTACAAGACACTGCACAAATTATAATCCATGAAAAAACCCTTCAAGCTGGATCATACTGTTAATTGACAAAGGAGAAAACTGAAGGAGTAAGAAGCTGAACTGGATTCTGAGTGTACGTTTGCCCATCCACCAAAACCCACACTCCTACCACAACCTCATGTTCCCTCCTGTATGCAGAATTTTCCCTCAGAGGTGTTTCTCTTTCTGAAGGGCAGAGAGTTGCTGTTTAACATGCAGACTTGATTAAACACGTAGCAGAGATTTTTTAATCTACCTCTTTCCTTCCACCATCCCCCAGAAAAATTAAGTGTTGATTTTGCTTGTTAGTAGCCAGAGGGGAGAAGAGGAAATAGTCTCTCTCTCTCTCTCTCTCTCCCCCTCTCTCTCTCTCTCTTTCTCTCTCTCTCTCTCTTTTTCTCTCTCTCTCTCTCCACAGTACTGTCAGGGCTGGTCCTCAGACAATAAGAGGGAAAACCTGCCTGGGGTGTTGCACTGGGTAAGTGGAGACACAGTGGGGCTCAAACTCATCTCAAAAGCTCCCGAGGATACATAAAAATGACTGTTCTAATAGGGATGCTTCACTTCTTCAGTCTTTGAAGGAATCAGAGTCCAAATCTTATGACTCAGAGTCCTGTTAGGCCAGGGCTATATGTCACTCATCGAAAACAGAAATATGTATAATAAAAATACATGGAAACATATAATTATGAATGTATGTATATAAAGTAAACAGTTTAGGGGAAACACATAAATTATAATAAAAATTTAACAAGGAGATGAAGCAGGAAATAATAAAACTTGATCTAGACCAAATGTCTCTTTCCTTTATATGTCAAATTGCCACTACTGTGGGCAATATGACTAAATCACACTATTTTACTTTCTGTCACTGCACTGAATTCAAAATGAAGGTAAAACACTGAAGGAAAGCAAGCATTTTTCATAACCCTAAGCAGAGTTAAATATATTTCCCTATCTTAACACCCTCCCTTTCCTTACTCTAATAGCAGAAAGTTATGGTAATATCTCAAGCAAAAGATTATTGGAATTGAAATTTTTTCAGCAATAAAAAATTAATTTCAGAATTCTTACCATCATGAATTTCATAAGCCAAACTAGTGATCTTCTGAGTAATGATCATCATTGGGCTGTGACAAGATAAAAAAATTAGTATTTTAAAAGAAAAAAGTTAAAACAATAGTTATGACATATGAGTAAGAGTTTATTCTGCTTTTTATCACTACAAATCCTGAAATTTTTAACATAAAAAAGACCTCCAAAGGATTTCAGCAATAACTCAGAGGTTATGTGTTTGAAAACAGCATAGGAGATGGTGATCTGGGCTTTCTCCCAGGCTTCAAAAAAGCAAAACAAAAAATGCTCCCCTCTAAAAGAAATCTCTAGTGACCCAGTGATCTAACCCAATCTCCTCATCTTATACATTAGAAAATGAGGCCCAGAGGTGAGAAGCACACAGGCATGAGATGAGGCCCCAGTCTCCTGCTTTTGGCTCAGTACTGTCTTCAACATATCACGGACAGACTCCCAACTTCTTACGCTAAAAACTAGGCACCCAGGGGTTATTGACTCTAAACACAGCCAGGTAAGGCACTGAAATCATGATGTATTTTAAAGGAAAAAGGACTTTAAAATAATAAGAAAAAAAACAGCATTATTTTCCTGTATTTTATTATTATTATTGAATGAATAACTTGGAAAGGAAAAAAAAAACACATCCATATGAGAAAACCACCAGGATGCATCTCATACTTCATTACATTAGCTTTCAGACAATATTAAAAAACAGTTCAGGCTGGGCGCAGTCGCTCATGCCTGTCGTCCCAGCACTTTTGGAGGCTGAGGCGGGAGAATCACTTGAGTCCAGGAGTTTGAGACCACCCTGGTCAACATAGCAAGACCCCATCTCTATAAAAATAAATAAAATAAAAATAAATAAAACCACCAGGAAGGCTTTTATCCTTTAACTATTACATTAGCTTACAGACTATATTGAAGAACAATTGACCAAAAGTTATTTAACTTTCTGAAACGATAATACAATAAAACCAAGAAATTGTGTTTTGCCTTAAGGTAGATTGTGCTCTATACATGTGAGGAGGAGAACATGTTTCAGGGAATCCTGAAGACAGTGTGGAGCACACAGCATCACCCCATGCACTGCCATGGAAAGGGGACCCCAGGCTAGGGAGGCTTAGTCCCCTGTGGGTCTAGCTCTTGACCTGCTCTCTTCCACCAGTCCACACATCGCTCAATGCAGAAACTCGATCATGCCCACTGCTGCCTTTGGCAAACAGAGGTGTCTTTCTCACAATGTCAGCAAACAGCAGCAAGGGTTTGCTTTAAACATTCCTACCACTGGTAATTTGATTTACAGACCTGGGCCCTTAAGAAGCTACAGCTCATTCTCCTCAACTAACAGGAAGGTCTCATCAATGACAAATGGTCTTAAACTGGAAGTACTTAAGGGAGGAGATTTCTCTTAGGTTCAATTCTAAAAGTCAATTCTTATATTTACATATTCACTTACCAGGAAATCATGCTTCAACCAACCTAATCCCCCAGGTGGCTTGGAACACCGGATTGCTATTTCTGCTTTGTAAGATATCCTTCAAGCCCTTGAAAATTATAAAAATGCCCTAAAATTTCCATTTCCCTGGGGGGAGATAATCATTTTTCTCAATCTGCCCAATTCTTTTCATAGTTTAGCTCAATGGAGTTATGAAATTCTCTTCAGTTCTAAATTCTAATTCCCATGTCTCCTTAAAACATAATAACAACTGATAAAATAATTATTACATTTATTTTGTCAATTCAGTGACACAGTAATCTGTCAGGTATACACAGACAAGACGTTTAAAAAATTCAAATATGGGCTCTGAGTGTCCTTCTTGTGCCCGCTTTGGCCCCTGAACCCACATACAACTTCTATTCCATCAGGTGCAAAGGACACAGAAGCTCTTATGAAAGTGAGCTTCGCTGGGAGGACAGCTGACGTGTGGCTGGGAGGACGGATGACATGTAGCTGTACTGCTGATTCCAGGAATCATGCCCCTAACAGAGCAGGAGGGAAGACAAGAAATGGACCTGAATACTCCAGCCTCTCTCCAAATGCTGCTCTCTCCACCCAGACTACTCTTCCTGGAATCATTTTACAAGGATAAGCTACTCCTCCCTCTTCAAGAATTAAGTGAAGAGTCATTTCGCACAAGAGGCCCACTGGACAGCTTTAACTCAAGTAGCTTCCCTCTGCCCACACAAACACATACATATATGCAAGAAAATACACACCCTTCATTTCATCTCAGTCCTTGTTTGTTTCCTTTACAGTGTTTTCACATTCGTAGTTGTTCTCTTTATTAAATCTCAGTGGTTGATTTAAATTGCTCCCTTTTTCAGAAAGTCCATGAGGCAAGGAACCTAACAGTCTTGTTCACCACTAAACCTCCAGCATATATCACAGTGTCTGGCACAAAATATGTGCTAAATTTAAAAAAAAAAACATATTTTTCATCAGGGTCTCGCTCTGTCACCCAGGCTAGAGTGCAGTAGTGCAATCTTGGCTGACTGAAGCCTCGAACTTCTGGGCTCAAGTGATTCTCCCATCTCAGCCTCCCAGGCAGCTGACACTACAGGAGTGTGCCACCACACATGGATAATCTTTAAATTTTTGGTTAACATGAGGTTTTGCCATGTTGTTCAAGCTGTTCTCAAATTCTTGGACTCAAGTGATCCACCCGCCTCAGCCTCTCAAAGTACTGAAATTACAGGTGTGAGCCACTGTGCCTGGCAAATAAATATTTTTAAAATACCAAATAAATGGAATTTAAGTGTCTAGTGAAGATCTATTACTCCTTCTGTCGGTAAATTATACACTCCCCCCATCTGTTCTTTCTCGTCTGTGCTTGAAAGCATTTATTATATACTGTAATTATTTGTTTATTCTATTACCACAAAAAACCATGAGCTACTCAACAGTTAGGAATATTGCTTTAATTATTTCTGTGCCTTCAGTACCTAGCACATAATACACTGTCAATGTACTGACTGGTTTATAGAAATGCCTCATCATTTTTTTTTGTTTCATTTCCTGATGGTCATTAGCTCCATATAGTCCCTTTGTTTTAAGTGGATGGCAGTCCCAATGCCTCTGGTCCAACCCGTCAGCCAGGCATAGCACATGGAGAAACAGAAAGACTGAAGACAAAACTGTCATAAGGTAACTATACAGGCATATGTTATGGATGAAAATAAGAAAATATTATAGGAAAAGTTCAGTAAGGGATGAGTAGATTAAAGAGAGCTCAGAAATGCAAACTAGAGGGCAAAACAGCCAGATGAGTCCAACATAGCAGGTACACAGCTAGGAGACAAGAAAGACTGACACCTCACCCTTCCACAGCAGGAACGACTGTGCAGAAAGCATTTACAAATGAAAATAGTCTAACAGTACACAGGGAGGTAACTGCAGTGGGCTTTCTTAACAGCACATTTTGCTCACAAACATCTGCTTCAGGACAATTAGGGTGATTTACACAACTATTTCACTTACATCTCTACTGACATTTTAACTATTCAATATCTGTTGGCTTTGTATTAATGGAGCCTCAGTATCTAACCACTTCCTGGACCCTAGGAAAAGCCTGGGATGCCTTGACACAAATTGGAAAGAACCTCCTGTTTCCCTAGGATGGAAGCTGGAAGCTGGAAAAGGTAGAAGAAGCGGAAGGCTTTGGAACTTCCAGAGTGAGGTCAGGGCCTCAGGATGGCGCTTCCTTTTCCTTCTATAGGACCACGTTAGTATATTTAAGTGGTATTATATTTCCTTCCAGAGATACTCTGCTGAGACTGTGGGAAAATATGAAATGTAACTGTTCAAAGTAAAAGTTCAACTGATGTAACAGTTTCAGCTAACATAAAAAAAATTAGCTTAAGTAAAAATTCTAGGCTTTCTGAAATTAAAAAAAGGATAAAAAATTTAAAAATATATTTACATACTTTTTTTCTCTACAAAGAACAAGAATAGGATTTGGTTCCATTACACAGTAAAACTCAAATGTAGTTAAACATTACAAGAGAATGAATGCTAAAAATGAACAATGACTTTTGTGATTGTTCTGTTATCTCTAGGAGACCACTAAACTCAGGGGAAGTCTGTATATTAATGCTACAAATCAACTAAAGGCATCTACTGGGTAACAGCTTGCCACCAGGATATGTGTTACCCGGCAGCAAAGGCAAACTGTTAACTATCCACCTCAGTTACCCTAAGTGTACAAGTAACCTTTCATCCAAACAAGATCTGCTGACACCAAGGAACCTCACTTGCCTAACACCAAATGAATACAAAGTGAGAGACGATGGAAAAGGCCATTGGTCCTCATCCATTCATTCACTTACTCACTGCTTCATTCAGAAAAAACAAGTATTTAATTAATGAGCACCTACAATGCACCAAGTACTGCTCTATATGCCAAAGATACAGTGTGAACAGGACAGGCCAAGTCCTTGCTGTTATGGAATTTATACTGTACTGGAGAGAGGTAGATTATAAACGAATAAACAGGTAAAGATACAATGTGTCAGACGCTGTGAGCCCTGGGCGGTAAAATGAAGCAGAGTAAGGGGCCTAAGGAATACAGGACACAGGTGGGAACCAGCCTCACCCAGAAGATGACAGTGAACTAGAGGACAAGCTCTGTGGAGGCCTGGAGTAAAAATGTTCCAGGAAGAGAGAAAAGCAAGTTCAACAGTCTAGGAAGAAGTGTGACTGGCATGTTGCAGGATCAGCATGGAGGCCAATGTGACAGTGAGTAAGGGGGACAGGAACAAAGGCTGAAGACAGCAAGCAGGAGGCCGGATCCAGCAGGCTCTCATCTTCTCAGGGTGAGGACACAGGCTTCGATCTGAGTGAGACAAGAAACTACTGGAGGACTTTAGGCAAAAAAGTGACTCGGTTTTAAAAGAATATATTCTGATTCTAGGTTGAAAAAAGACTGTGGCGGTACCAGAGGCAGGCGGAAGGGACAGGGGTGTTGGGCAGGGAAGGATGGTGGCTCAGACCAGGGTAACAGCAGAGGAGGTCTGAAGTTACTTCTAGATCTATTCTGAAGGGAAAGTCAATGGGATT